GGCGAGGGTAATCAAGCGTAGGCTAAGATGAATCTTGTCTGTCTTTTTCGTGCTACACGCTCGTACCAATTCTTTCCAGATAAACACTCAAGTGGCCCATACTAGATCGTACTGAAGAAGGCACCACTGAGTGAGGCGAGAATTTCAAAAGCTGTCGAAGCGCATTGAGAACCTTGGAGCTCGACTGCGCAAGAAACTGGATGCTCGTTTGGCATCAGCCGCTAGTCTTGTGACCTGACCTGACCTGAACCTGAGTCGATCCACGGACAGAATCCGCTATTATCAGGACAACCAGCTGGCGGACACCTATCTGCTTCATGTGGTTTGAAATTGGAAATGTTGTTTAAGTGCTCCTCTGTTCAACCCTGGCGCCACTTTGGGATCAGTCGCGCTGTTCGTGTGAGAATCATGTCTGGTGGTTTACCTGTGTTGGAGCTGACTGAAGATGATTTGAGGTTGATGCTGGTGGCTGGTGTGTTCTTGGGTGAAACCACTCTAAACTATCAAATGTCCGGATATGTTTACGGCCGCAGCAAAGAGGGAAATCACATAATTAAGGTCAACAAAACGTGGGAGAAGATTTTGTTAGCTGCTCGAGCGATCGCAGCGGTAGACAACCCAGCCGACGTTTGTGCCATTGGATGCAAGCCTTACGCCCAGCGGGCTGTATTGAAATTCGCAAACTACACTCGTACTACCGCCATAGCCGGTCGGTTCACTCCTGGTGCTTTCACGAATCAGAAGCAGGTAACTATCTGTACATTTGATTATTCCCGAAGGCATGCTTCCGTGAACCACGTTTGCTCGTTGTTAGTGACCCACGAAGCGATCATCAACCCGTAATGGAGGCCAGCTGTGTGAATATCCCAGTTATCGCCTTCTGTACCACTGACTCACCCATCAACCGCGTCGATATCGTCATCCCTTGCAACAACAAAGTAGGTTCAAATATTACGAGGTTATTATCTTCAGGGTACTCATTCTGTTGCAGTTTGCTGGTGGCTTCTTGCTCGTGAGGTTCGCCGTATGCGTGGAGAAGACATCCGTTCTCAACCGTGGAACGTGATGGTTGACTTGTTTCTTTATCGTGACCCGAAAGAAGAAGAACAGGAACTGCAAGAGGAGGTCGATGAGGCTGTGATGCAGCCCGCGCTCGCAGGTATAAATCTCTAGCTTTCATGAGCACCNGCATTTAGAGTTGCATTATCGTTGGATCCCCATGTAGTTCACTTCTCCCATAGCTTTTGTTGCCCTTTTCGCGATTGAACAGTAGGCCCTAAAGAGAGTAGGTTTATCTTTTTTGTTGTCCGTAGCGCTAGTTTATGATGTAAAGAAATAAGATACTTTCAACTGCCACTTATGCAAACAGTTATCGGTGATGTTAAAACAACAGTTTTNTGATGCCTTGAATCCGAGTCTCAAATCCAGCCGTCGCCACCTAACTTCAGTGGTAAGCGGCTTTGCTGTCTTTCGGGTCAGAACCACGCCTGAACTGGCGAGGATCGTAGTTGCGCCCACTACAAGTCCCGCAGCTGCGGTAGTTGGCTTTATCCATAGAATAGGTCTTCGTGCCCATAGGGTCTACCCCGTCTGTTGTTCATCGGAAAAATAGGTGTAAGAGATGAAGTAGCTATCTAATCGTAAGCAACGCATCTTACTCGTCAGAAGGCTTTTTGGGACCAGAGTTGCGTTTCTTACATGTCAGTAGCCGAAAGCATGAACCACCTAGAATGAGCCATAGGACGCTTATATCCGAACCATGCCTGTTTCACAGAGTAATTGTTAGCTTGTCACCGATGTGCTCGGCTTTGTCTATTGATAATTTCTCGTCCATCGTCACAGCAAGAAAGCTGTAGCAGCTCAGGTCGAACGAAAGTGGCTGTTGTTTGTAGCAACTAGCTTGAACCCCTCCAGGAATCATTTCGAATCTTGTACCTAATTGATGATGCTTTTTCATCTATGATTCGTTCAGCANNTCAGCAGGCGTAATATTGTTTCTGGCGCACTTAATCCCACATTTTTTTTCGCATACTAGGTGCCGAATTGGACAATGCGGACACCTGGGTCGCTGATCCTTCCATGCCCGTTAGTGGACTGGGCGAAATGGGTATTCCGGCGGCAGGTTTCGGTCCGGGTGGTGTTGTTCCCACCGGTGGATGGAGCAACCTCGATGCAGATCCCATGGGTGGATGGTAAATTTCGAAATAGAGCATGATTCGGAATTCTGTTCTTTTTGTTNGTTGTCAACTTCGAGCTTCCTGGTAGCACGGGCGTTTGCCTATCGTTTAGTTAGATTTGTTGAACCTCGCTTCCAGTTATATATGGATATCGTTGGTAAAGATTTCATGCTTCGGTGCGATAGTGTCCTGCAGAGGATAACGACTATCACTTCGTGTTTTGCTCTGATGGAATCATCTTTCAGGTCTTCTTACTACGGCTAGTTGTTTGATGAAGGCTAGCCGCCAAATCGCGTGCCGTGAAGATTTTTGACCGCTGGGTATGTGTAACGTCTCCAGCTCATCTATTTCGAAGACAAGCTTAACATTTACACAGTCAGCTGTGGATAGCGCTGTTCACGTATGCCCTTAGTTCACTAGACCCATATAGGCTCAACCCCTTTAACCCTTCTTTTCTCTTGATAGATTTTTTTGCGCTCCTTTTACCAGACAGCAGGTCTTTTACCTCAAAGTGGTAATCCCGCTGTGCAACCCTCCAAATTTACGCCACCGACGGGCCTTAAATTGGATGAGCTCAATCGTCGAGCTGTTCAGGATGGTGCGATCTCAATTCTCGGATAGAAGTTGAGCGGTGGATAGCATAGGAAGGGAGTGCCTAAGAGTTGTCAGTTTTCTAGCTTAAGGCTACTCTGACTTAAATGTCGTTCGGCGACGAGTCAGTTTTTTTACCGCAGGAGGAGAATGGATGGTCTTCAAGCATAACAAAGATTCAGCAGTTATCCTTGGTACTAGGATTCAGCAACGGTGAGGTTCACGGGCGGACGGTTGAAAGCTTATTGCTTGCTTTAGTCTTGAAGGAAATTAGTACCAGCGCACAGAAATGCGAGTAGCTTGGACCAGTGGCAATGAAATTTGATTCCTTTTGCGATCGTGAGTCTCCGTTGTTATCTGGTCTCTGTCGTTCAGGCAATGGACACAAAACAGTTTCTCGATCACAGACGTCAGATATCCGGAGCGGGACTACTCCCCTTGACGTAGCCTTAACTACACAGACACTCAAATTGACTACAGCGATCAATCACGCCGTGAGACATGGAGCATTTTGTTCTACTTTGTTTCATTGGACTCTGTCTACACGATAGTTTGCACTGGTGTTCTGCATTTGGTGGAGAGAGAGAAAGGAAACTTGCCTCAACCAACTCCCCGGTGATCAACAGGCTTGTTCGCTTGGGGTGCGTGTGGTCTAGGACCGTCCTGAAACAGAACAGTACAGCAAAGGCTTTTTGCTGCAATTCACTTTTTTTGCTCTACTGTGGAGAGCTCAGCGCTAGTCTTATGAATTATCGACATTTATTTGCATCGGGGCGTCCGTATAACTCATTCGAGATGGACTTGGGTTCCCTAGCTGTTCTGCATTTACGGATGCCAGATGGTCAATTAACAAGGTTGAACACATGTACCGACAGCGGGTAGCGGTTGACTCAAGAGCAGTGATGCGGTTACCATGGTATTGTCGTACTATCCATTACCACTTGGTGGTTTTTGCGCAAGCACGGTTAACCTTCACCTTTGATGAAATCGAAGTTGATAGTGTCGAAACTCTTTTTTGATTCTAAAATCAGCAACGCGTATCGTGCCGTTATCTGAGTTAGGCGCTGGCCCAGTTTCAACCTAAGTCCACCAAACAACGACAGTACATTCATTCTGTGATAAGCATCTTAACTGACGGAACAGAACCGTGAGTGGTTTTTGAGTATTGTGTATTGATTGCGCACCGCTCTGGGCTTGAAGTAAGTCACTACTGCTCCGTCGATAAGTTGGGCTACTGACCACCCTCA